TTAATGTTGACACGTAAATCAAGAAGTAATTTAATAACATCGATATGTCCACTTCCTGCTGCTAAAGTCATTGGTGATGCGCCAAGATATCTAAAATCGTCTAAGATTATTATTGATGGACCAAGATACCTAAAATAAGGTTATTATTGATACGCCAAAATATCCATAATTTTTAAGGTTATTACTGATGGTTTAAGATATCTAAAATGCTAAGGTTGCTGTTGATACGCCAGAATATCTATAGTTTTAAGATCATTACTGGAAGCCAAAATATCTAAAATGCTAAGATTATTGTTGATACCCAAAATACCTGGAACCTCCAAGGTCATTACTGATAGAATAAGATATCCAAAATGTTCTAAGGTCATTGCTAATAGGCCAAAGATATCTAAATGAATAAAAAAAACGGCAAGAATGATAGTACATTAAAATTACCTTGTTATATTACACTAAATATACCTATTCATTTAAAAAAAATAACACATACAGCTCATTTATAGGCCAAATAATTAGATGTCTATTTGATTATAGCAATTATTAATATTTAAATATTTGTATTTGTAACAATGTTTTATTCATAATTTAAAATAATAAATTTATGTTAGTAAAAAAAAGGAAAGTTTTTGAATGGTATACGTTAATTTTTGATAATTTGCACCACGTTGAACGAGTATTCGAACAATATTAGCATGGCCATTTTTTGCTGCATGATGAAGAGCTGTCATGCCTACCTGATTAGTTTTCTCGATATCAGCACCTCGATCAAGTAAATATTGTACCTGAAATGATAAACCAATTTAACGTACAATTTTTTTTTTTTCAATAAAAGGTTGAATGAAGGAAAAATTATTTTTCACATAGTTAATTAATGAAAGATTTAACTTAAAATGTTGCTCTCAATCATATTTACAAATCTAATAAATAATCGACTAAAAGGAAAGATTTATCTCATAATTAACAGAAATAAAATATATTTCAACACAACACAAATATCTTCATCTTCCCTATAAAGTGTACTACAAATATACCATATTTTAAATCGGAAAAAAAAATGCGATATTAAAAAAATAAATATTTAAATTGCAAATATTAGAAATAATTACTAAATATTTTTGAAAATAAATATGAAGTGCTATTAGTGTGAGAGTGAAACGAACAATTCCAATATTTCCGGTAGCAGCAGCCATCTGTAAACCGGTAACATGATCATCATCGAATGTATCAACAAGAAATCCACATTCAACAGCATAATGCACCTCATCTAAATTCCACGTTTCGCAAGCTGTAAGAAATTGCTCAATGGTAATGGAACTCATCCACGCATAAAATATTTCGCTTTAATTTTGCTCAAATCATCATTGATTTTTCATCTGAAAAATTTCACAAATCAATTACATGAATTACACCTCAAAACAAAAAAAAAAAAAAAAAAACCTTATTTCATTTCAAAAAATAATATTCTTATTTCATTCATTCATTTATTGATTTTACTTCTTAATTCGATAAGATTAAATTTCAAATGTGAATTACATGATGATATAGCTCAGTGATTAATTGAAAAAAAAAATGAAATAAGATATTATTTGCTGAAATTAATATTCAAACATTGTATCTACTCTGACTA